ACGTCCGGCTGTTTTCGAACCCAGCAACTCGTGTGCAGGGCAGGCTCTTAACTACTGAACTACTGAACTCGAGTGCCCAGTCCCTTTCCTAAGAATTTCAAACTATTCTGGTCTCATTTTACTTAAACAGTAACAGCATCCTCCATATTCACTCCTGCATGTTTAAAGTTTTTTCTGCTTACAGGTGTAGCTGTGAGGGCTTTCTTTGCTCTGATAAACGTGGAACTTTACCTTTCTTGGTTTTTGTGTATCCAAACTACACATCTAAATAGCTGTCTACGTTTCAGGGAAAACTCCAGTGGTTTTGTTAGGTATGCCCCCAAGATTTGCATTTGCAGGCTGGTTGCAGTGGCTCCCTTAATTCCAACTCCCTGGCAGGCTGAGGGGGTCGATTGCTTGAGTTTCAGACCAGCTGGAGCAAGAGCAAGACCCATCTCTACTAAAAGTAGAACCAGCTATGGGCAGCACCTGTGGCTCCGTGGGTAGGCCTCATATACCGAGGGTGGAGGGTTCGACCCAGCCCCTGCCAAACTGCAACAAAAGATAGCTGGGCATTGTGGAGGGCGCCTGTAGTCTCTGAGAGCTGTGATGCCACAACACTACTGAGGGCGACAAAATGAGACTGTTTCAAAAAATAGGAAAGGTGCCTGTGGCTCAAAGGAGTAAGGCGCCGGCCCCATATGCCGGAGGTGGCGGGTTCAAACCAGCCCCGGCCAAAAACTGCAAATAATAAATAAAAATAGAACTAGCTACTGGGAGGCTGAGGCAGGAGGGTGACGACTTGAGCCCGGGAGCTTGAGGTTGCTATGAGCTGTGATGATTTCAACCCAGCATGAATGAGAGAGACTCTGTCTCAAAAAAAAAAGGCAGCACCTGTGGCTCAGTTGGTAGGGCGCTGGCCCCATATACTGAGAGTGGAGGGTTCAAACCTGGCCCAGCCAAACTGCAACAAAAAAATAGCCAGGCGTTGTGACGGGCGCCTGTAGTCCCAGCTACTCGGGAGGCTGAGGCAAGAGAATCACTTAAGCCCAGGAGTTGGAGGTGGCTGTGAGCTGTGTGACACCACGGTACTCTAGAGGGTGATAAAGTGAGACTCTGTCTCTACAAAAAAAAAAAAAAAAAAAAAAAAATTTGAATTTGCAAAAGGGCTCAGATTTTTTGTTGAGACAGAGCCTCAAGCTGTCACCCTGGGTAGAGTGCTGTGGCATCACAGTTTATAGCAACCTCCAACTCCTGGGCTCCAATGATTCTTCTGCCTCCGCCTCCCAAGTAGTTGGGACTGCAGGCGCCTGCCACAACACCCAGCTATTTTTTAGTTGCAGCTGTCATTTGGCAGGTCCAGGCTGGATTGGAACCTGCCAGCTCAGGTGTATGTGGCTGGCACCTTAGCTGCTTGAGCCACCGGCATTGAGCCAGGCCGGGCTATTTTTTAGAGACCGGGGGTGGTGGTGGTGGTCTCTCATTCTTGCTCAGGCTGGTCTCGAACCTGTGAGCTCAGGTAATCTACTGCCTTGGTCTCCCAGAGTGCTAGGATTGCAGGCATGAGCAACCACACCTGGCCTCTTAGCGATATTTTGTTCTTCTTCGACTCCAGGTAATATCTTTACATTCCTTTTGATTTTTTTTTTCTTTTTTGAGACAGTCTTACTACTATTAGTACGTCGTCCTTGGTAGAGTGTTGCGGCGTCGCAGCTCCCAGTAACCTCAAATTCTTGGGCTCAGGCGATTCTCTTGCCTCAGCCTCCCAAGTAGCTGGCACTACAGGCTGTCACCAGAACGCCCGGCTATTTTTTGTTGCAGTTATCATTGTTGATCAGCAGGCCTGGGCTGGTTCGAACCCGCAAGCCCCGGTTCATGTGGCTGGCGCCATAAGCACTGTGCTATAGGCATTGATCCTTGATTTGCTTTCAGTAAAGGTTTTTTGTTTTTTGAGACAGGATTTTGCTTTTTTTTTTTGAGCTAGAGTCTGTTTCACTTGGTAAAGTGTCATGGCGTCACAGCTCAATGACACCTCAAACTCTTAGGCTTCAGCAATTCTCTTGCCTCAGCCTCCCAAGTAGCTGGGACTACAGGTGCCTGCTGCAATGCCTGGCTATTTTTGTTGTTTAGCAGGCCTGGGCTGGGTCGAACCCGCCTCCCTTGGTGTATATGGCCAGTG